GCTAAGGAAAAAAATTTAATTAGAGAGATGATAAATTAAATATTAATTTTTATTTTTTTAATATAAATTTATAATAAAAAATATATTTAATATATTCTTAACTTGTGCTTTTATGGTATAAATTAGATAAACCCCAACCAAAAGATTAAATAAACATATATTAAATAGAAAGATACTAATAAACCAAAAATATAAAAATTAAAGAGTTATTAATGAACAACTATTTTGTAGGATGATGATATTAAACAATTTTACATTTAATTAATCCTTATTTTTCATTATATATCATTTGATCTTCATTTTCCTCATCTTTCTTATAAATCGCTAAAACTAATCTTTGAAAAAATAAGGGTTAAAAAATTATTAAAATGTATAAAATAAACAAAAATTAAAATAATAAAAATATAATTTAATAGACCAAAGTTTTTATTTATTATCAATAAAAAGAGATCCCATCAAGCCCCTTAGATCTCCTAGTGGATAAGTGCAGTTTGAAACCTTAAGGCTTATGTGAACCCGTGCAAACGACAGGTAGGTTATTCCCCATGATACATTTGGCCTAACAATAAGATAACAAACAAATATAGCATTTGGCAGAGCTATCTTGAATTTATGAAAAAATATATATATTATTAAGGAAGAATTTACATCTAGTTAGGTACAAAATGGGGTGGCGCTGTAAAGGCGCTCAGGCTTGCAAATTTCAAAGCAGAAAAAAAGTCTGGGCAGTGGAAGTTACAACGTATAAACCCAAATCTAAACCGGGTTTTAGGTATAATGGTTCGACCTCAAGCCTTAAGTGTTTGGGTGAAGTGGTCGGAGTTTCGAGCTCTACCACTATCGTGAACACCACCAAAAAACAGTCTGATGGTTGCACGCCTCATTTGAGGAGGTGAAATGTTCACTCGGTCTGAGAACCAATTGTTAATAACTAATTCATACTAATTTCTTAACTATTACCCTTGTAAAAAAAAATAAATAAATAAAATAAAATAAGTATAAAGCCAAATCTAAAGTCCAAGCAGCCCCACAATGACAAATGCACCTTAATCATTAATGACAGCTGCAACCTGATGAAGATCATATAAACAAAGATTCGAGTCTGAAAAGAAACAAGAAAAGATGGGCACCACATTCCCTGAACACGTAACATCTCCCTTTAGACATACACTCAGTGAAAAAAATGCACCACTCCATATCAGAGGCCACCACCATTTTTGCCTCTGCGTTGTTTTCTGCAAGAACTAAAGTACTAGTAATACATAAACAATGAAGTGGTACTGACAGCAATCCATCCAGCCAACATCGACAATTAAAGACACAGGACGTTAATAATTCTAAGATATTGCAATAAAAGAAAGATTCAGTTATTAATGTATCACGCTCAGTTCAAATTTTTACATCCGTAGAAAAAGAAATTATTCATTCAGATGACCCAACATGTTGATTCTAATCTAGCCAACTATAACAATAACAATCCTATTAGTATGCCATTCAAGGTTTATGCCTGGTCGATGTTGATAAGTAACTCAGAACTCAGCCCAAAGATAAAAATAACAAGAAAATAATAAATTTCTCTGGGCATAATTTTACAAATGATTGGACTACAAAGGGAATTGAGAATTTCAGGAGTCCTGGGAGTCTGATTGAAGGTTAACAATTTGGGAAACCACTAGCCTGGAGAGTTCATTAATTGCAGCTTGAACCTGGTAATCATCTGACTCCCTCCTTGCCCACTCGGACAATTGTGAACTTAACCCCCTATACTCATTTGCAGCAACCCCAGTCTTTGTTGATGTGGCAAGTACTTTCTCCAAATCGGATTGAAATAATGGCCTTGGTTCCTGAGAAAGGAAAAGAGACTCATTCAAACAATAGATCAGAAAACATCTAAAGCACATTAATTCATAAGCAAAAATCCAAACATCCTACAGCGTTGTCAAAAGCATCTGCTTTGACTGCTTAAGCGGAAAACCAGAGTGCTATTGGGCCTCAGCACTCCATGTAGTCATGAAGCACTCCACTTCAGTGAAGAAGGGTTGAAGCGCCTGCTTTTCCAATTAAGCAGTCAAAGCGAGCACTTCTGTTAATATTTTCAATTTAGACAAAAATGTCCCATTTAAATAATAATGAAGCCAATAGATATTTAATTTAAAGGGTAAAAACGAACTTTTAACCATTTTAATCTAAATAGGAGTGATTAAAACAACTGAGCTTGCTCAGCCTATTTCTTCTTCCTTGCTGCAGCATGCATTCTCTTCTTCACTGCTACTGCTTTCTCTTCTTTGAAAACCTTAGCTGTTTCCTCCTTACAGGAGTTTCTCTAGGTATTTTCTGCTTTTCTCTTGTCTTTTGCTTTGTTATTTCTATTTTTCCCTCTCTGTTTCTTCTCCTTTTCCTTGTTTCTCTTTGGTAAAATCATGGAGTTAACAAACTACTCCTCTTATGTTTTGAATCTCTCTTTTTAAGATATATATATCATTATATAATACTTTTTAATTGCCTGCTTCACCTAAATGAAGCGCCTGCTTCGCTTTCCACTCCACCACTTAAGCATTTTTTGAGGCAGGCACTGCATACCACTCTACGCTTTTGACAACACTGACATCCTAGGTTGTGCACATCCACCTATTGCTTTCCTTCTTTTCTTTTTTCTTTTTTCTTTTTTCCTCCAAACATCTAATCTATAACCTAAAGATAAGAATGTTTGATTTGGTCAGATATTTTGATGCAGGATTAACTACAGTTCCAAAGAAACCTATGATTCAGCAGTAGAAAATTGGCAAGCAACACTATCACTAAGATAGTTTAAGGAGGTAGTGAGGAAGCAAGGAGGGGAAAGACAACCTAAAACTGTAAGAAAACAGAAGCAATATCCACTTCAAACAAAACAATTTGTCTAACATTAGTTCAATTTAAGACAGCTATGCTTAACCTCTCAGCAACACTTGAGAAAACAAGCACAAGGTCAAAGAAAAAGATAATAAATATACTTACATTGGATCGTTTTCCTTTCTTCTCCTCATCCAGTAGGTCCCTGATAGGGAAGTATGCTGCCTTCTTACAGAGTTCGATGAGATCCGAGCCAGTGTAACCTTCGCACAATCTGGCTACGCGATCATAGTCAATTGTTTCTTCAACCCTCTCACCTTTCAAAATCACCTTCAGAATTTCAGCTCTCTCTCTCTGGTCAGGTATCCCAATCTCAAAGGCCTGAGGAAGACGCCTAAGTATTGCTTCATCAAGTTCTGATGGGCGATTTGTCGCAGCAAGAACCATTACTCGTGCATTCTCTGTATAGATGCCAATTTGATAAATAAAATCTTATAAACCTAACAATATCACACAAACATCCTATATATTAGTCAGGGCCCCTTACCACATACAGGAGGAGGAGAAGAACAAGAAGAAACAACAATAGCCAGTTCTAGAAAATCAAACTACAGAATGTAACAACTCTTAGGGTAGAAATCACTCACGATCTGTGGTAAATCCATCCCATAAAGCCATGAATTCGGTCTTCATGTTTGTTAATGCTTCATGATCTGTATTACGCCGCTGTCCCAAAAAACTGTCTACCTCATCAATAAATATAATGGCAGGCTGGAGTTTATAGGCCAAGCTAAAAACAGCAGAAACTGCAAAACAAAAATAGAAAAAACCAATCAAGCATCAAAGGCATGAAGAGAGTAGTAATATACAGGTTTAATAAGTACCTAAAGAAACAAAGAAAGGGTGCTTCATCAGGATCAGAATCACCACTTACAAAAACCATAAGCTCAGAATTCTTCCACCTTCATGCACAGGCACAATCATGTCTTAAACTAAAACTAAGAGTTGGTATCATAGTTATGCATATAAAATGATCAGTCAACTTTTAATTTAATAAGTTCAAACAACAAGTTCTGTGTAAGTTAGTGTCATTTCATAGTTCCTACATAATTTATTCTGGAAAAAACCACTTTCACTTTAGATGGCAAAACAATTTGAAAAGCTTCTTATTAGCACCATGAGACAGCAATATTTGCAAGTTCAATTTGAATAAACTAATTTAGTTTAGTGAGATCCCTGTTCCATAAATTGAACTGATTCCAAAGTACAGGCCATCTTGATATGTATTATGTAGTCATATAAATCTTTCTAGGTCCATCAAGAAAAATCCCCAAACCCAATAGGTATAAACAATGTCTGAACTTACCAAGCTTTTGTGCATCACCAAACCACTTGCTCATCAGATTTGATATCCTCACATTAATGAACACGGCTCCTGACTCCTTGGCAATAGCTTTGGCAAGCATAGTCTTCCCAGTCCCAGGCGGCCCATATAACAAAACCCCTTTTTGAGGGCCAAGAAGCTTTCCATGTGAAAACAACTCAGGTCTCCGCAATGGAAGAATCACAAGTTCATAAAGGGCTTGTTTTATGGCTTCCAGCCCCCCAATAGAATCAAATTTCACATCAATGTGGTCAGGATTTATAACATCACAAGCTATTACATCCTGTAAAAAAAAAAAAAAAATTGTGCTGAATTATACACCAAGATTTCAGGACAAAAAAGGGGTCAGTGCCTCTTCCCCTTGTCCATCCAAGATTTCATTACAAACAAAAACAGGAAAGGAGAAGAAGAATACCTCATAAGGAGTAGTCTGTATGAGAGGACGACCCAAGCGCTTGGCTATTTCCTTCTTGTGCTCGAGCGCCTTCTTGGATGCTTCCCGGTTCGGGTCGAGGTGTCGGAGGCCGGCAAAAAGCACCAAGCAACTCAGGGCAGCGCTCGCCGCGTACAGTATCAGTTGCTGCAAGAACTTCTCCGACGAACCCTCCATCTTCCGGCGCGTATGAATTAGTTTTTTGAAGGTAAAAATATAGGGTTTAATTCGGAGGAAAGAATAGAGTGCGGTGAGATGACGGCGGCGAGTGGCGAGGGGTTTTCTGGTAAATTAGTTTGTTTTCCTTTACTTACTGGCAAAGTATTTGGGTGAAGTGGGCCGAAGCAGACTTTGGGTTATGAGATTGGGCATTAGCCTTTCAGAGACAGTCCTCAGACAGAATGATATATTTATTAATATCATATTAGCATGGGCCTGCCAGCCTTTTGGGCCGACTCCCCTTAGGCTGAGACGTTCTACATCTGGCATGAGATGGGCATGGCATGGACCATGCTTGATCCTACGCCCCTTAAGATTGCATCTTTTATTCATTTATTTTTGAGTCTTAATTTTTTCTATTGGGAAAGGGGAAATTAGTTGTACTGATATCAGTCCAAACGAAACTCAAGCACTGGGAAAGATATAAAAGTAATTTTATAATTATAAAGGAGATGACATGTCTCTAGAAAAAAAAAAAAAAGAAATTTTGTCTAGATGGATATAAAAGTAAAATTTTGTGAACTTGGTTTTATTTGCATTGCTGTTCCTCCTCTTTCATTAGAGATTTAGTTTGGGTATCTTATTTTGTAATTTAGATGGTAAAATAAAAATAATCAAGTGAGTATTGAAGTTTGCTCCTTATCCAATGGTTTATTTTATACAATTTAAATTATACAGTAATTTTTCCTTTTAGTTTAACCATTGTTTTTTATTTTCCCGTAGGTATCTTTAGTAGAGCTTTACAATTAAGCCTACTGTTTTTTTTTTTCTTTTTAGTTTAACCTAGTCTGCTCAGTATGTCATTGGTTATTTAGTAAAAAAAACATCACGCGCTAACTTTAGTGTCCAAATATAATTTGGCTCCAAAGCCTAAGCAAAATCTACAGTAACTGGGCTCATAAAAAGTTTTATGGTGGTTAATGTCTACTTTGGTGTTATTAGTAGCACACCCCTGAATTACATAGATAGAGGTTTCCTACAAAATTAGGGATTGTCTATTGTCGGTAAGCGCTTTGGTATTGAGTAGGATGATATGATAACCCTTTGGGATATTTTTTACGATGAAATTGTTCTAGGTCTTTGTTAGGTCGTGTCTATGCCTCAAATGTGTTTGGGAATGTGATGAAAAGGTGGTTTTTTTTTTTTTTTTTTAGTTGTATAGTATTTTTAGATATATGTATAATTGACAATTTTTTTAAATTAATTCTTTAAAAAATTACAGAAAGTTACAGCAGATCTACATTAATTTTTAGGTCAAAGCATTTTTTGAGCTTTTTAGTTATGATTTTCACA